CAGTTGTTTAGTTTGTAATCAAGTCGGTGGTGTTCATCTCCTTATCTTCGTTTTGTTCATTTCTTTCGCTTTTCCTTTTTTGTTTCTATGATAATTTTTACTGGGGCAAGCACCCCCTTGCAACGCCCGTGAACACAGAACATAAAATATTAAATTATTATAGACTCGTATGCACATAGTAAACACGCTACTCATGAGGGACGTGGCTCCCTTCGAATATGAGATGGTAGCTCGATTCAAGGTACAGTCCTTCGTTTGCAGTTATCAATTATGTAACTGACGAAATTATAGGTGAAACGCACACTTGGGCGAAAGATGGTTGTGTACCCACGCTTCTGTGAAATTAGTCTTTTTTGGCAAGCTGTCATTTTGAAACAGACAACGAAAGAGGGCTATTCCCAACGATGCGTCTACGCATGCATGCACTCTTGGAAAATTGCCATTAGAACCACGGGCAAGTGTTGACTATAATTTGAACGCACCCACTCGGTCTTCCACTCTCAATAGACCTACATTTATTCGAAGAGGGATGCCCACAGAAGTTCAACGTTAACAGCGCAGTCGCTTCATATACATTTTGCACTTTAAAGTTGTTATCGCCGCACATGTGTACCAAATGGTACCCTGTTCCCTACCCGCATATCCATTGGATACGGCTCCTGGGAGAAACCTCACGACATGATAGTAACTAAGCCCACGGGAGGAGAATTGACTTATAAATCTCAAGATACGTTTTCACACAGTTGAATAGACCCCGCAATTATACTCTAAAACGTTCTAAGCAGAATTTTCTCTTTGAGGAAAACTGTCACAAAAACCGAGTTACGTGTGGTGGTATAAAGATAAGCTTAGAATATATTTTTAAAACAAGGAGATTTTTTTTCCGACAGATCCTCATTTAAAATACACCACATCGCTTTATTCTGTGATCGTAACTGTACCAGTATGTTTCAACAAGAAAATCTTGCAAAATACCAGCAAAAGTTACCCGCAATAAGTAGTAGCGTATCCATTTAGTTATTCTGCAAATTTTTCATACGTCAACAAAAGGTTAAAAGCAAATAAAATTATATGTTTTCCATTCTACGAAAGAAATGCTTATACTTCGGGAAAAAAAAAAACGTATTCATATTAACCTTTCAGAAAGAGTCGATTTATGTCAGTGGTGTACGGGGGCAGGAGGCAACTTTCCCCCGTGACGGAAATTTTTGCGGATTTTTTTTCAAAGAAGGAGTGGGTAGAAAAGAAAGTATTTGGTACATTTATTTATCAAATATTAGCATCAAATCCCTAAGAAAACAACATCAGCAAATAAAAGCAAGGATGTCGGGACCATGAGTAAGGTGTTTGATTTTTTTCTCCACAACATAATGTTGAACGGGCCCGAAGACGCATTCACTTTTTAACCCCCCCCCACACATTAAAAGCTGGATACGCTGCCGCGTCTTGTCCTTGGGATTGGTGGTTCAACTTTCAGTTTGTCTAACAATTCACATGTCAAATACGTCTGAGTATGGCTGCTCACCATTTGTTGAATGTAATCGAGGCATTCCAGGAATCTGTTGAAATAAAAGCTACTCTAATCCTTACAATATGTCGATGGTTACCAAGGTGAGGTGAATTCAATTACAATCGGACGACATGGAATGGACAAATGTTGACAAAGATCACTTGGAATGACCAATGACTAAATTCATTGTAGCATTTGAAGGGAATGGAAAATGTATGAGGTAACTCATAAAGATAAATTTGATCTCACGAGTCAGTCAAGTCTCTTAAGACAGCCTATTTGCATGAATTCAGCTCGTATATCAATGCACAACCTTGCAGAAAAGAAATAAAAACCACTCGACCTTAAAAAATAGAGCTGACCTTTCGTCGCAATTTGTTTTCAAGAATAAACAGTACTGTGTATTGTTAAAATTGTGCCCTCCCATTTATACAATTGTTAGGTTCCAACGTCGGACCCCACTTTAGGCCCAATTCTTAAAAAGTAACAAAAAACCAATAAACAAATAACCAAAAATCCAATGGTTTAATTTTTAAATGGAAAGTTAAAACGGAAGCCTGCACGACTGTCAAATACAATTTGACCCGTTTACAAATAAACACCCGCTGTTAAAATGCTATGTACATTGATTTTGTGGTAAGATTATTTTTGTGCTTTAATTTCTATTTAAGGTAAAGGAATTTTTTAAAGTGGTACATTTGTACATATTACTGATATTTTAATCATATAATTGAATTTTACAGCATTTCTACTGTTAAAGTGATTTTTTGTTATTCTAAATCAAAATCTATGGACTCAGCTATACAACACTGCCAAAGACAAAGTGTCAAGCCTTAGAAGTCCCAGGAGATGGCGGTATACATCCCCTACTTTCTGACTGAGGAGATGGGCTTTTGAATCATCCCCCCACGTTTTCGTTGTGGGAAATTTAAAAAAAAAAAAGAAAAAATCAAGGCAGATTTTCAGTAAGTTTTTGGACTTCCCGCAACACCCACAGGTATTCAATAGCACTGAAAAGGGGAGGATTTTTTCGGAAGTTATAAACACGCCATTTTGATGTAGGGTACAGGGGTGTACGTACTTATTAAAGATGTACATCAAGCTAGTGTTTTTTAAATCTGTAACAGCCCGTCAATTCAGGGTGCCCGTGCTTGAAATATACTGCGTTACAAGCTGGCGGTTTCGATGGCGCTGTGCTTATCGTAATACGTAATGAATGCGTAATACCGGGTGGGCTTTCTTGGAGCGGATATATCACCTTAATAAATTATTATACAACTACGTACATGAACGTCACCAGCATCGTATTAAATAAACACCTTAGCTCGAGTAATTGCTTGCGCGTAGTGATCGCCAAAAGGTAAAAATATCGACATAGGCCTACCTTCACCGTACGAAATATCGTCTCGTTTTTGACAAGATACCCCTGAATCGTGTTTTCCCCGCGTTGGCTACCGGTTGTGTGACCTAAAGAGGCCCCGTTGCTCCGTGGATCATGGCAATATTTCGGCAACTGAGAAAGGTTGGATGCAGCGACCGCACCTACCACTTACTGATGATATTCCTCATGTGCGGATGGATGGGTAAGAATATAGTGCGCTGCCTGTTGAACTTAACAGAAATGCCCTTTGATTTAGTAACTGATCGGTGCAGTCTTCATTTTGGTAAATTTTCAAGCTCGTACTTTTTGACTTTCCTGAATAACTTTGCCGATTCAGATAGAAGCTATATAAGCCCTGGTGTTATGCTACACTTTAAGTCACATTCATGCCATCGACTTATTCGTAGTAGGGTTAGCTGGAAGATAAGGTATGATTAGCATTGGCTTCCTTCATATGAAGCAAGGCAAAGCCTCTATACGAGTTCAGTTTGATAAAAGTCTGAATTCTTTAAATTCACGTGACCATAACCTGAATTATCCATACTAAGACACTGTTGCTGTACCTCCTAATTCGGGGAAGCTGTTGCTTAGTTACATTAGAGACGCACAAGAGAAGGGCACAAAGGAACCAGTTGCATCTAAGAGATGGTAGTCGCCATGCAAAAGCTTACCCCGAATCACGAGGCATATCAACAGTGTCTTTAGTCTTGGGAATTCAAATTGTTATGTTTATGTGCAATCAGATAACTCAGCGTACCAGGATTTATTCAAATTTAACTCACAAAAAGCTCATTTTAATGGGTTGTTTTTTTACCTTTTCTGAAGAGAGTTTATTATACTTCATTGCGCGGCTTATTTAGGTGCATAAAGGGACTATCTAAGCTTCTGACACAAACCAAACATTCTTATCAGCCACCGTGCCGTTCTTCTTCGACAGTGACGGTGGTCTCGGGGAAAAACGAGAGGGATCTCGTTACCGACCTTCTGGGTAGCTACGGACCCAATTCTGTCAGGCCTCTACAAAACGCCTCCAAGGCGATTAGTGTCAGCCTCCGCCTGTTGGTAGCACTGATCATTGAGTTTGTAAGTCCAGCCTTGAGTGGCTGCAGAAGACGTGTTACCTCTCCCCTTCTCTAATCCACCCAAAGTCTGTCTCAGTTTTAGTCAAAAAAATGAATATGCAGAACATATGAATACATGTAGATATCTTTTAACAAAGGAGAAACACTTTCTTTAAAACTCAGCAACACTAAGAAGGATTA